TATTATTATAGGTACGTGTCGTATTCATTACTAAAGCTACTATTGTATACCTATATAGTTTTGGGTTCGTTCGATATGTAATCTTATCTTACTTACTCTTATATTACTTTTTCAATATCAATGGGCTGGAGTAGGTAATTGCCTATTAGCGGCAGTAATGCGAAAGCAATTCCCGCGGCGTCGTCGGTTCAAAACTGAAAAAAAAAAAAAAAAAAAAAAAAAAAAAGAAAAGGTAATTGCCTATAGGTACTAATTGGGATTACCTTTACAACACATATAAAAAAAAAACTTAAAATAAAAATTTGTTAAAATACCCAAAATGAACGTAATATTTGTAATATTACGTAAAAATGACCTTAAAAATGCAATAAAATGCATTTAACACAAAAAATGCAAAAAAAATGCAAAATAAAAATTTCATATTTTACATTGTTATATCACGAAACAAATTTCGTTTTTGGTTAGAATTGTAAAAAATGCAAAAGTCACCAAAATCCTAGCTCTACTGATAACAATATAAGTCGTGTACGTATATAAAACTGATGAGATATGTGATAACTGATAACATGTATGTCGCGCGTCGGCGGCGACGGCTGATGGTGTGGAGGATGCGGGGGGCGGCGGCTCAAGGCTCAGGGCTCAGGTGTCAGAACAGTCCGCAACCGCAACAAGCGAAAAAAGAAAAGTGAACACAAAAAACGAGCCGGTCCGACACAACGGTTTTGACGAACCGAACTCGACAACATGAAGTAAGATACGAAAGTTCAGTGGCATTTACACAAATGAAAAAAAACGCGAACTTATGGAATTATCGGTGACACTGAGATTAATGAATTACGAAAACACGAAACATAACCGAATTTGTTATACAACGAAAACATTTAAAACGAATATGGGATAACGGTCGCACGCACGCACCGGACGGTAATCACACAACAGATGTTGTCAACCGCACCGCGGCGTCGTGCGATGCAAACCGATATCACACGGGGCGAAGAAAACCATAATATCCTACTAAAATAATAACATATAACCAAGCAGATGCGCAACATAATATAAAATCAAATGTACGTTGACTAATTTTAACGTTAGAAACCTCGGGCACGGTCTCTGTACATGGCGTGTTATTTGAAATGGCTATCGAAATGTCCGACATTTTCATCGAAGTGCCCTCTATTTCGATTACTACGGGCGTCATCGCAATGTTCGGGAGTGAAGAACATTTTCTCGATGGTGGATTGAGGACGTTCAGTGAATTCATCACTTCCAGAGCCTGGCCTTTGTTGTTTTCATTTGAAACCTGCTCTAACGACGACGAAGGACAAGGCGGTTGGATATTAACTCCTGCCGCTGTCTCAAGTTCAACTAAATTACCATTATGGCGAGTCGTGGTGATGTACAAATTTGGCATAGATTTATAAAATTTTGTATTTATTGAACGCGGTAGTTCTCGACTTTCCATTACATTTGTTACTTGAACGTTTGGTTGTTCTTTCGCAATGGTTTCTGTTGATACCGCAGTGATTTTGATATCCGTTGTAATATTGTCCATGATTTACTTATGATTTTATTCAGATATGCGTAAGAATAGAGTAGACCGTTCGATGTTCTCTTTGAGACTAAACGAACTCGGTTATTTTATTTGTCAATACTATAAGGTTGACAATAGCAACAACAGATTTTTCATTTTTTATTTATTTAATAAATAAACACCCATTCTGGCAAAGAGAATACATAAAAGCTAGGCTTTTACATTTCCATAATATAAGTACAACTTGGAGACTCTCATCAAAACTATATGATTAAAAATGAAACGTTTATAAAAATTAGTTGTATAACATAATAGTATAATACGAGTAAAAAAACAGGATCATGACGGTTTATTTTTAAAGTATTTTAGGACAATTATTTTTGCTATTTATTAATTTACGAATAATTTATTTTATGATATTAAACCTTATGAACACTTCACTAACGCGTGCTTGTAAACTGTATTATATAGACAATAATGACACTGAACTACCAGGTGAACAGCAAATTTTACTTTCATTGTTATAATGTTATATTATTTGTATCATCACGATATAGTTAACGCGCGACCTTTTTTTTCTATCGATGTTTTAGATTCTACGCAATATATATTATGATCTAAGGGTTTTGCGTGTCAGTCAATATTGACATCGATGTATCGGGTATTCGGGTGAACAGCATGATTTGCTTTTATCGTTATACTTTATTACAGTCACGAATCACGATAGATAACGTTCGATCTTTGTTGTCGATTGACATGTTTTCGTTTTGGATTATATGCAAATCATTCATATTTATATATTATTTAAATATATACAAATTCATGTTTTACTAATCTTTATTAACTATTAACTAAATTTTTCATTTTCATTTCAAATTAATTGTAATATTTAACGAAATTGTAATTTTAAATATATAGAAATATTAGTTGGCGCCAAAACGGCAGGGCAAAAATGGCAACGCCAAAACGTCTATATCCGCCAATCATTTGAATACTACCTCTCAACAACAGATTCCGTGAGCAACAACTGAACTAGACTTTTTTAAGAGCTACACCATTGTTTTTTTTTTCATTTGGGCTTAAGTGTTCAAAGAGTTGTCTTTTTATATGGGTTACCTTACTTTCTCTGACTATCCTAACAAATACACGGATGCAAATCAAGTATAGTGTATGATCACAATATACTAAATATTATTAATATAGTTTATATATTAAATTGGCTCTGATCCAACATTTTTTTTCCTTTTTAATGTTTATAAAGTATGCAAAAAAAATAATACTATTTGGTGAATAATTAAGTTGATAGTTGAGTATTGACTGACCACTGAAAAATGCACACTAAAATTCTAATACTTAAATAACGAAATGTTTAAAAAAGCATGTACACATAAATTATTATTATATATAATACTGGATTATATTACATCCAAGCATTTATAACATTTGGACAATACTTATAAAATAACTAAAACTATTTATAAAAACGCTGAACATTACTATACTCTTATAATAAAACGAGGATATTTAATATAAATGATAATTTTAATAAAAAAAAAATATTATCACCCTGAAATTAAAAAAAAAATAATAATTACACTATTTGCATGAAACTATTAGCAACCCCCAGAAATCGTATTGTTGAATAAATATTTCGGTTATAAACAATTAGTTGAATGTTGTAATTGTAACGTATTGTACATACAATTCGCGCATAAAAATCTGAAAATTGACTATAGCCATCAAAACGATTTTTTTCATCATCGTTTCGTACGCTGTATATTAGTGTATATACTGCAAAAAAATTAAACTACTGAAGTCAGTATGCAAATGTAAGGGCTGTACGAAAATTTGCCATAGAAAATACTACAAACAATTTATGAAAACAGAACAAACAAACACATCTGAAGAATTAGAATCAATCAAAGCAATTCTAGAAAAATGTAAAAATGAAATCGCTGCCAAGCAAAAATAAATGATGTTATTCATTATATTGTTTATAGTTGTACATTTTTTTTTTTTTTTGTGTATAAAAAATGAAAATCTGTTTACATTAATTTCTACTGTTATAAATTGTTTTATGATGTAATTATTTGATTATAATAATTACTAGATAGAACCAGATTTTTTTTTTTTTAAACTCTAAATTGCTTCAAATGAGACAGCCTACGATAAAAGTATTTTTTATGGTTTGATTCAAGTAATAACTACAGTCATATCCAATTATAAATATCTATTTAGTATGCACAGTCAAAAAAAATCAAATATGTCAGTATATAGGTAAGTTTTATAATTTACCCATAGAAATTAAAAAAATAAGTGTGCTACTGAAACGAAAATTTAAAATTTGAAAACAATATAATTAATTAGATTACCAAAAAGAATGATCAAAATTGTGTAAAAATTACAACTTCCTCGCATTTTTTCACTTATTTCTATGATTTTCCACGTTTTTTTTTTAATATTACCAAGTAGTTAAAAAAAAAAAAACTAGTATACCAGTTCAATTAAATTTTTAATATCATTGACAAATGATGTGTGTATAACTATTATTAATATAGTTAATTTGTAATATGGTTTTTTTAAACTTTATCTTTTTTTATAGATATATTGGTGATTTTTAATGTTGTACATCGATTTTAATTACATTCTAATGAAATCAAAAAAAAGATTTATACAAATATTTATATTAGTTTTAATACATTTTAATTTTTTTTATACATATATATATGACTACAATACATAAATTGCATATTTTGTTGTATATATATTGATCCATACAAATTAATTGTTCTGCATAGATTGTTAATGGAATGGCATCAAATAAATCATTTTTGAACCAGAAAATTTCCACACTATCATAAAATAAAAATATTACGTCATCAACCACAGATAAACATGTCGTCACCGGACTCATTTTTAATGAAATAGAACTTGAAAAAACTATTTACGGAATGATATCAAATAAAGTAATTTTTTGGGGAAAATAATTTCACGCTGGAATCGAGTTTAGGCTAGCCCAATAATATTTGTGAGTGATGCTATTAATTTTAATAATAAATATTTATATATTTAACATAAACGTATAAATAAATAAAACCCATTATCAAATTGCAGTATAATTGTTTATACTTATATAATTGTTATGGAAGCATTATACAAATGTGCATTTTTAGCTTATATATTATGCTATAATATTATATTTGCAAGCTGAGTATAAAATAAACTGAATAATAATTTATCATAACACATAATCTATAGGTACTATTTTTCTTCCATTTAGTGAAAACAACCTATGTATGCACTATGCATATATATACATAATATATACTTTATATGTAATATATATATTAGTGTACTACATAATATAACATTTTATAAACATACCGCATTGTTAATGTGTACGTCTACTCATAATAATATATATATTAACTCATTGTAACCAGCGCGACAGATTTTATTGATGATATTAAATAACTCATTGTAACCAGCGCGACAGATTTTATTGATGATATTAAATATGCTTAATATACAGATTTTATTGATAATATTAAATTCGCCACATATTAGTGTGTACCGCCGATTGTATATATGACATAACCTATGATGTAACCGCACATTCCGTGCGATCATAGGCGGGACGTAAGGTGGGGGAGCCACATTATAGGTGGAAGGAGTGGGTTGAGAGTCAGAGTATAGACCGTGGGAAGTAGGGAGGGGAGGTCCAGACCGGGTTATTTCATACAATATCAATTGAAGCGATGGTCAAGTCTTCATCACACGCTGAGGCTTGGCCAATTGAAGAATTCTAAGCGATGGTTTGTAGTTTAGCAATAATGGCTTTACAACAGTAAAGCACTCTTTATCCTCCTTTTTTGGAATTTTCCGGGGTTTGGCCAAACGCTTAATGTTCTCTGACGCTTCATATCTTAGAGCAGAAGAAGACACGCCAGTTTCAGTGGTTGCACGTGGAGGCGGAGGACTTATAACTTGCATGGTTCTTTTGAGAGGATCAGGGCCCTTTATGCACCATGGAATCGTGGAATTAACTTCTGTGAAATAGTATATAGGTACGATTTAATGATATTGTGATGTGTATTGTGTATTTGTGTATATACAGCGTTGTAGATAATACGAAGACGAACTCAAATGAAAACGCTCGGGTGAAATAAAAACAACAAAAATAAATTGAGTAACAACGTACTTATGACCGGGTTGGATTGAAATTCGGAGCCAATGATATTTAATTTTAGTTGAATCATATATATTTTAAAATTGTGATATTTTTACTATACTTTTAAATAGCGTCATTGTGGTCATATTTTGCAAAATAACATACAAATAGCAAAACTAAACTTTTAACGACGGATCTTCTAGCCATTATAATTTGCTATCACATAAAGTTTTTGGTACAATAAATTACGCATAATGTCATACAAAAAAGTTTTCACGGTTTATGATATAAATTACATAAATATGTACTTTTATTTTAAATGTTGTTATGTTTGTTTGATCTGTAACGCTTAATTTTCCTGAACTCAAAAGCAATTAATGTTAAGGAATATAAAATGTTTATTGAAAACGTATCCTAAATTTTAGTCAATAGTAGAGCTCGGAAGTTGTAGGAACTAAAAAAGGTGAAATATGTATACAAATATACACGAAAAAATTACATCGTGTGTATTGAGAATGGTGTAAAAAATGCAAAAAAGTTATTCTAAACTTGAAAAAAAAATACATCATAATATGATGTTAATAAATTAATGAAATAATAATATACATAAAAACTGATTATAACTGAAAAAAAAAAAATTATAACTGGTTGCGGCATTTTGACATCTTATTTAGCTGGAAATATTATTAAAAATATTTTTTCAATATTTTTTAAATTACGGCGAATACGTTCGTTGATAATTTTGAGTTTTATATTCAATATTAATTTAAATATACAGGTTAACAAAGAAAAAAATATCAATTTTTTAGAAAAATATGAATATATGCATAATAGGTATGCATATAAAATTAATGAAATATGCACTTTTTTAGCTAAAATTGACAATATATGCAAAATATGCATTTTCAATTTTTTTAACTGTTCATTGTACAGTTCAGATTTCTAGCTTGATCTACTATAAACTGAGAGCATACAGAACGATATGCAATTCCTACAATACTTCCAAGCCCTATAGTCATTAGTATAATAATTTGCACAGTGGAGAAAATCTGTTTTGGAAGTATTGCAGATTTAGATAATTTGCTGATGCCTAGGTCTATGTATTTTTCTATTCACTTACTCGTAATTCATACTACATTATTATTGTCATAATTTTATTAGCAATAGTTTCTCTTACCCTTAACAATCAGCGGTTTACGTCTTCGGGCTAACGGCTTAGCCAGCTGTTCAATTCTTAACGATGGTTGATAAATTTTCTGTGTTCCATTCATGTCGGCGATCTGATATAATATGAATATTTTTCAATCAGAATTGTATAATAGGTATGCTTATTTGATTGTCTGGGTAATAACTACAATTCAACTACTAAATTATTATTATTTTATTTACGTTAGATATTCAAATAGCCACTATCAATAATTTTATTGAACTCACTATATAATATATGTTCTTTGCTTGACATGACAACAATTTAAAAATCGATAGTACGTTGTATCTTATTATTAAGACATGAAATCGGTCAAAATTGTAAAATGTGTTAGTAGGTAGTTAAAAATATATTATTGCAAATGCTTCGTTATTTACAAATCTTCACATTTCTTTTTTTTATTAACTCAGTCAAACAATTGAAATTTTTAAACAAAATTTACTTAAAGCTATCTTAAAAACTTGTATTACTTTTTCCGTATATTATTCGTATATTATTTATATTAACAAGTAATATATTATTAATTATTATAATAAACGTATTAAGTATATCATTTCATTTTATATCATTCAGTTTTAAACACGTATAATAATGTTTATTAATTGGCTGGAAAGTTATACAAACAACACTGTAAAAACTTCAAAAAATCAAAATAGCCATTTTGTTGATATGATTTTTTTTAAATGTTCGCAAAAAATAAATGAAAAATATTCAGCCATTCGGGCGCTTATTTTCTGTAATTTTTCGAAATTTGCACAATTTTATATTATTTCAAATAGATTTTCTGGATATTTGTTGTAACGCTGATAAACAAAAAATAAATTAGAATTTAAGCAAACTTTAAAAATTGTTTGAAAATTATTGACTCAACCTTAATAAAAGTTTTTGACACTAATTTTTTTTTTTTTAATTGGATTTACAAAATGGCTATCTTGATTTTTTTTAATGTCAAATAGAAAGTTTTTTCTAAACGATCTTTCATTTGTTGCGACACTTGCTGGTGCAGTCAAAGCTAATTTACAGATTTTATTAATTTATGGTAAAATGTGCTTAATTTCTCCAGATTTAATCATAAGAGTATCAAATGTACTTGAATCACTATCATTGCACATCCCAATTAATATTTCCATCTCTGCTTGAACAGCATCAGGGCTTACAGATTGCCTAAATGTTGCTCCTTATTAAATAGTCACGACCCGACCCTTAAGTATAGATAAATAAAATCAAATGAAAGTTATGCACACACGGATCACGACAAACACGACGAATGTATGATTCATTACTAGGGTTAGGATATTTATGCACTAAAAAAATGTATAAATATGTATGCACTTATGCACTAAAAATCAACTAAATATGCATGAACTATTTGAAAAATATGCATTAAAAAATAAAGACATTTTTGGACAAAAAATGCAATAAACATTTATTATTATAGACAAATTGAAAAAAACTGAAAAAAATTAAATAAAATATAAAAAAATTAAAAAGAGTTGCATTGAATAATTAAAGCGTTATTGTTCTTGAAAATGGTTTAAAAAAAAATAGTATTGAGTTAATTGGTATATTTTCTGTATGAACCTTTTTTTGACATTATACTTGATGATCTTAATACCAAAAAATATTTTTAAATAATTAAATAAAGTAGGTATATGTATGTAATTGAATAGGATTAAGGAAAAGAAAAAAATTTGTAAAGTAGGTATTGTAATTTTATGATAGGTAATTTCGTAATAGACTATTTTAAAAAATATTTGCAGGTTCGTAAAGAGAAACATATTATCTTTATTTAACTATAAAAGTATATCGTGCTTAAAACAATTTTTGATGTCATTATATATATATAATAAAAGAAACATGATTAAAAATGTAGATTCATTTGAGGTGAAAACGTTAAGAAAATGCGTATCTGCTATGAGGAATAATTATAGTTAAAGCAAGTCAATAGAAATATAAAAATATTACTATTAAATCAAGATGTTTTATAGTTTGATATTTACCTAATAAAAAAAATACACTCGCATTGAACACAAGACAAGAAATAAAAATTTTGAATAAATACTTTAAAACGAACGTGTTGAACGCACGTGAAATAATGATAAAAACTGTATAGTTTTATAGTAAACAATTAACGTACCACACGCACTCAACGACTTTACATCAACCGACAGTAGTAGGTGCCTAGGGTACCATTTGACGGTATTTAGATAGTGCTCGGCTAATAGGTATGTTCGTTATAAACGCTGAAAGAAATATCACGAACATACCTTCCTTTGCCCATATAATATGATAAAGCTTAAAAATCTATTAAGTATCCCAGAATGTTGAATATCGTGAATATTCTCAGATTTCAGCAGCACCCTTACTTAAAAAAATAATCAAAGCAAATAGTAAAATGTATTTATTTATTTTTTATTTACATATGAAATAGTGAACACATTAAAAATCAATATAATATAACTTATAAGTATTTGAGAAAAGAAAAAAAAATAATATTATTAAATTAATATTTTTCAGTGCTCTTTTGATCTTCCAAAATTTTCAATTATTTCATCATAGTTTAATGAAGTTGTCAACATTTTGAGCTGCCAAAGATTTTAGATGATTATTATTCGTTGATGATCTAAGGTATGCGATGCAACTCTTCTTTATATAAATGTATTGCACAGATTAGCTTTGTTGATATTGATAACGTTTTATTGACATTGATTTGTTTAAATCATTGTAGTAAATTTGTTTAAAAAAAATTTCCACTAAAATTTGTTACCCCAAAAGAGTATTGCCCTGATCAATTTCGCTCCTTGCCTCTCCTAAACACGCCACTGGTCTTAGCTGCAGAAAATATTATATTTTCAATGTAATGCCAATATAATCATTAATTTCTCGTGAGTATATTGGCGATAGAACAAGATGCGAAAAAATGATCTCGAGGAAATTTAATCATCGGGAGAAAATAATAATATTGATATTAATCGTAAATATTATATACACTTAAGACATACCTTTATAAAGCTATACATTTTTTTTTTTTTTTAATGAAAAAATATGTTACTTAGATTTTAGAAACTTATAGATATCAAGACATCGAGTTATTCAAATATCTGTGTATTCTTAATATTATGTAATAATTATCCTTAATAATGATGTATACGTTTGTTGCGTCCGTTATGTCAACGTCGATACATATATCAACGTAGAAATAGAAATACTAATGTTTGCAAGTTAAAAGATTAAGTCTTTATTTAATACAATTAACTCGTACAAGAATACAATTTTATAAGCACAAGATGGTGTGAGTGGTGTTACGACCTGCCTCTGAAATACTGATAGACGAGACCGTGAGTGGTGTTACGACCTGCCTCTGAGCGTCTCGAATATCCCTAACCGTCTGCTGAGCTCTTGCCCTGGTCTCCCTTATATATGGTTAACCGTCAAGAGTGGTGACTGGGGAGGTGGTGACTTCCGATGACCTAAAGGAGCTCTCTAAATTAAATGTATTATTCAGTTGGGTGCCTTTCCTGCGATTTCATCGGTTCTACGAATTACAAGACGTGTGATCAAGTCTTAATTGTCAAATTAAATAGTACAATGTTAACACTATCGTTTACTCATCATTTCTGAGAAGTCCAGGACGTGTGATCATGTCTTATTCATTATATTGAATATCACGATGTGCAGGTGATCGCCATAGCCGTTCGATACTACACTGTTTGAATATGTTATTCCATCGGTATACACATCACCTCTCCGTATAATATATATGTGTAAAATAACACGGTACGTAACACGTTTGTATTTTTTTTATATAAAGGACTTGGAGGACGCAGTAAACCTGCAAAATCAAGCTGTAGAAAATGGTAATATTCATTGAATATAATTTAATATAATTAGTATTTATATTTAAAGATCATAGTTTAAAAAAAAATGCTCTGTTAAATTTAATTTAAAATAAGTTTATTTTTAATATAAAAATAATGTTAATATAATATCATAGATATTCTTATACTTTTAATAATTTTCAAAATTATATATAATTACCCCAATTTTAGAAAATATATAAACTAATTATTTTATTTTTTTACATATATTAAATAAAATTTTGTGTTGGTCGAAAAGAAAATTGGTTTTTTTTTAAAATTTAGTTGAAAAGTGAATTAGCCTATAAAAGAGAAGAAGGGTACGATTTTGGTGGAAAAAGGAATCGACCTATTTTAAATTTGGTCGAAAAGAAAAGTATTCGTTTGACGTTCCATTTATTATGACACTGTAATACATATTATACACTAACTGTTGGGCATTATAGTTCAAATTCCAAATTGACTTTTAATATTCTTCTTTGTTTCTAACATAATCACATAGGAATAGTGAATGTTCGAAACCATAAATTGGAGCATTGAAGTCATGACAATAGTGACTATTTTATATCTTAAACCTGTAAACATAAAGAAACAGCCATGCCAGGTTAACATATCCAAATTTTCTTGATATCCGTGATTTTACATCCTTGATAAGTCTTTAGGATCTTATTTTATCTAAACAATTGTATATTTATATATCACCTACACTGCAACTTAACAGTTTTAAAACTTATAAATTTGTATTGTAATTTTTTAGAAGAAGAAATAGGTAGGTAAATTAGAAGAAAAAAAATATCCTCACTAAGTGTCAAACGACAAAATTATTGAGTTATTATTTTTAAATTTTTTTAACAGAAGATAATATAGGAGTGCAAAAGCTATCGTGTTGTATTGGTAAAACAAAAATAAAAATCCCTTGAATGAATGAAAAGGGAATTGACATGTTCTGAATTCTGAAATTTAACAAATGTGCAAGGTTTGTTTCATTTAATATGTCTTCAAATTTTTATAAATTTGCATAAGAAAAAATACCGTTACGATGCAAATTTGCCGTTGCAATACACCTACCTGTTTGTTATAACTAAGTGGCTATCGATATTTATATCTAATTCTATCCAGTTAAGGAGTAGTTGGTTAGCTATTCCCACTACACGAACCGGTCTTAAGAACCGGGTTGTTGAATTGATACAAATAAAGTTTTCTAAGT